TCACTCAATCACTACCCTTGCTTAACTACTACCTAAGACTCACCTAGATTTGAGACCCTTATCAAATCCATTCCAATCCTAAACCAGTGACTGAACAATTCTAAACACTTAGAAAAAACACATAAGTCACACTTCAAATACACACAATCAATCACTGCTTAATAGCTTTGGAATGAGGGACAAAACTTACAACTCAAAAACAAAGTCATACTCTTTCATCAACATGATAATCAAGAGGCTCACAATTAACACACAAACCCTAATAAAATTACACAGTAAGTTCCACACTTGTACTAGGGTTGAAGCCTTCTATTTATATTCTTCAATGAACTGGATTTGGGCTTCACATATTGGACATCAATCATTAGTTTCCCAAATTATCTCCATAATTAGAAACTAACAATTCTCCTTAAAATCAGCTTGAATATTTTTAATCTTCAAATTGTGCGCCATATAGGATAGCATAATATTCACATAATATTCTGCATCTGTGACAAACTAAAATATCCAACAATCCAGCTATACACAATCATGATTTCAAAATAACCTGCATAGGACATCATCACATTCGACATATTGCTCCAGTTGATAAAACATCTTCACTCAACATGTCTAAGCTAAGCTAGTTTTACCAAACATAATGTCAATCACAACAAATAGAAATAACACTAATGTCTAACAAAGAATATGAAAAAGGATTATTTTCCTCGGAATACACTTGTCAACCTAAATATCATGTTAAAATATTATAAATATATAGTATTATTTTCTCCTTTTAGTAGGATATTAAGATATTTGTTACGATCTTATGTTTTACGATCTTGCAACACCTTCTCGATCTTCGAAAATAAATGGAAAGGAGCTTTTGAAATTAACTACAATATTATGCTTTATGATCCTATAATCCCCACTTGATCTTATACAAGATCCAAATCTTGACAACCTTGGTGCTAACAACAACCAAACTAAAAATAAAATTAGTTACAAATAAGAAATAAGAAGCTAAAAAATACTTAAAACTACAGATTATGTTTGAAACCAATATCTCTCTGCGCATACTTCATTTCAATTATCAGATCTTTCAAAAGTAGACGTTGGTGTTGTGAACCTTCCCAATAAAAATGAGCTCAACCCAACAGTTAAAAAATCTAGAATCATTATTTTATTGAGGTTGGTTGCAAAAAAAAAACATGATTTAATTTATCTCTTATTTTCATCTCTTTCGAAGTTTATTTTCTACTCTCCCTCTACCCTAAAATGACATTCTTCACTTAGGAAAAATAAGACGCAAAATAGACTAACATATTTTGCCCTTTCTCCATATAGGAATGGAGTTCAAACCCAACAAATCTCCCTCTCACAACTATGTGGAGAGAACCACCAAATCAGAGATATCACAACAAACTTCAAATTCCCTTTTGACCTTTAGCTAACTCCAACAATTTAACATCTAAAAAATCATGTATCTAATGACACCTCACAACAATGTGTTTGGACCTATTATGAAAATTCAAATTCTTACTAAGATGAATAACACTTTGACTATCAACAAATAACATATATATGTTTTGAAAAAATCCAAGGTCCTACAAAACTTTCCTCAACCATACCAACATCGTGCATACAGTAATGGTAATGAACTCTTTCTCTATAATAGACAACGCTACACATGTTTGCAATCTAAATGGCCAAACCTTTATTCCCCTGCAAATTTAATCATGTAGCTTCTTGTGGACTTCCTAGAATTAATGTCTCCAGACATATTTGAGTAAGAGTACCCCTCTAGATTTGACTTATCTCCTCCAAAACAAAGTCTCATACAAGTAGTACCGCAAAGATAACTTAAAACCCATTTTACAATATTTCAATGCTCTCTACCTGAATTTGACAAAAATCTACTGACTGCACCAGTAACATGTGTTATATCTGGTCTTGTACACACCATTACCTACATCAAACTACCCACAACAAATGCATAAGGAACATGTTTCATATCAAAATTTGCATCTTCACTTAAATGACTTTGATTAGAACTCGACTTGAAATGAGTTACAATAGGGGAGCTTACCTCCATAGAGCTTTCCATATGGAAATTTCTGCAACACTCTTTTTATATAATATTCTTGTGACATCCAAAGTTTCTTCTCCTTTCGATCACACATGATTCTAATGCCAAAAATGAGTTTAGTTTTTCACATGTATTTCATGGTAAATGACTCGCCCTAATTCTTCATTAAAATGTCAATGTTAGAAATATTTTTCCCTACAATAAGAATATCATCAACATGTGACAACAAGATAATAAAGTTGTGGTTCGAAAATTTTCTAACAAATGCAATCATCTGAAGTAGTCTTCTAGTATCCTTGATAACACAAAACAAACTCAAACTTCTTGTACCATTTCCTTGGAGCTTGCTTCAACCCATATAGACTCATACTCAATCTACCCACATGTTCTTCTTTGCCTTTAACTTGAAAATCATAGATTTATTTCATGTAATTTTATTCCTTCAAATCACCATAAAGAAAAGTCATTTTCACATCCATTTGTCAACCGGTTAATCAAGAGTAGTAGCCAAACTCAACATGATTCTAATTGACGAAATCTTAACAACAGGTGAGAAAATCTCATTAAAATCAACACAATTTCTTTTATGAAAACCTCACACCACTAATCTGGATTTATACCTTAGAGACTTATAGTTTCTATCATGTTTAACTCTATAAATCCACATGTTTCCAAAGCTATTTTTCCTTCAGGAAACTTCACTAAATCATAAGTGTGATTATCACGCAATGATTTCATCTCATTAGTCAAGGTCACATAATCATGAGAATTATAACTTATATAAGGTTTTCTCTGTCTGTTAGACCTCCTAAACCTAAATTGAGATGATTATGGAGCTTCACCAAAATTCTCATCCTGTGATATATCATTATCCTTTTTATCATCATTACTTGTGACATTTACCTTATCTCTAGGTTGTTGAACATCAATATAATCATATAGCTCGCCATTATGATCATCAACAATAATATCAAGATTATGAACATGTAACTAAATTGGATCAATATTTGATAAACTAATATCTTTTTTGGGTGTAGTATTATCAATCATATCAATGTCTTCAATAGTTTGGTCTCCAATGAACACCACATTGAGGCTTCTGATAAGCTTCTTTCCTACTGGATTATACAACTTGTAACCAAACTAATTTTGCCCATAATTAATGACGGTACATTGTTTTAACTTTGTCCAACTTAGATCTTTCCTCCTTTGGAATACTCACAAAAGTATTACAACCAAATACTCTTAAATGATCATATTTGACATTTTTTCCAAACTAATTTTTTTATGGATTTTCACTATTCAAAGAAATAGTAGGAGTGAGATAAAGAACATGCACCGTTATGTATAGTGCCTAACTCGAATAATAATTGGGCAACTTAGCTTCAAAGAGCATACACCTCACTCTCTCATTTAGTGTTTGATTCACCCTCTCTGTTAAACCATTCAATTAAAGAGTTTTAACATGAGTCTTTTCATGTGCAATACCCTATTTCTTGCAATAGGCGTCAAAGGATCCACAATGCTCACCATCATTATCAAAACGAACATATTTCATCTTCTTATTTGTCTACTTCTCAACCAAATAAGGGAAATCTTTGAACTTTTCCAACAATTGGAATTTTGTCAAAGGTATATACTCATAGTTTTCTGGAAAAATCATCAATAAAGGTAATAAAAAAAGTGCATCACTACAGAGTTTTACCTTTAAAGGATCACAAAAATCAAGATGCACCAATTGAAACAATTTTTAATTCCTTGAGGGAGGATGTCTCTTGAAGGACACTCTAGTCTATTTACCAGTCATGCAATGAGAATACTTCTCTAAATCAACATTCTTTAATCCTGGAAACACATCTTTTGTGATTGTCATAACAACAATTAACAAGCATATGCGCAAAGATCAAATTAAGCAAACATCTAGAGCATGTTTGACATCTCTAAATAACAATTGCATTATCATGTTGGTTTGCAAGAAAACATCACCAAAACCAATTATCTTAGATACACCATCATTATCGATCTTCAACACTCCAAAGTCACTAATAGTATAAGATTTAAAGAACTTCTTCATCAGTGTAACATGTGATATAGCACCAAGTCAACTATCCACATGCTCTCATTCGATACAAAATTAACAAACTCATGAAGATCATCACTAGTAACACAACCATAATCATGATCTTTATGATCTCTTTTGTTTAGTCTTATCCTTCTTGCCTTTGTTATCCTCATTCCACTTATAGCAATACTTATGTATGTGTTCTATTTTGTGACAATAATAACACTTCAAATTCTTGTATTGTCACTTGGAGTTGTTCATGTTATTCTCTCTACCACCCTTCAATTTTTTTCTGACTTTTCCCCCTATTTTCAACGATAATTACCTCAGATTGAGATGAAGAACTTTGTGTCTTTCTTCTCATATCCTCGTTAAGAATATCACCATTAGTCGTTTCTAAAGAAACAACACCTCTAGAAGAACAATTCGGGATAGAATCCGAAACGTCTCTCAAAACTATGTTAAAGATATCAATAGATATTGTCTCAAAAGTACATCATCATATTTGATACCCATTTCCGACTTTTGATAAAGAGGCTTTTGAAATTCACTCAAGTAATTTAAAATAGAAGTCTTCTCCTTATATTTCAAATTTACGAAATTATTCAACAAAAACAATTTATTATTCTCTAATTTAGAGACATACAAAAACTATCTTCTCTTACAAATTTTTTATATTTATCTCATTAACAATGTAATTATAAAATAGCGTGTGACAAAGATGAACTTATGAAAATAAGTTCTAAATATTTTATATAGATATGATAAACTAACTAGCCTCAAAGGCTAAAAGCTTTCACATGAGAAGAAACTAATCAAAGGCTAAAAGCTTTCACATGAGAAGAAACCAATATCTTTTTTTCTTCTTATTTACACAAAATCCAAACCCTTAACCCCTATAAATGATCCAAAATCCTTATACCGTACATTCTTATCAGCACACCAACTATAATGAATTGAAAAACTCTTACTCCCACAACTCTTGCAACCCTCCCAAACAAAACACAAATAATAAATAAAACCATTTCCTAAAATCATAAACACACAAATACACACACATTCACAGAAACTCATAAAAGTTGAAAACTCACATGCAAATCCCAACATGATAATACTCAACAAAATCCATGTTCCGATTTTTATGTTACGTCCCTTCGAAGAAGATCGGTCGGGTCCAGATAATTTATCGTACAATTTAGACCAATAGTTCAATAAAATGGAACTAAAGAAGACAAAAACTACGAAGATTATCAAAGGTATGTCCTTTTGGTTGTATGCACGATAGAGAGTTGTTCCAAAACTTATTGCTATGTTGAGGGAACACAAGAATGGTGACATAATATGAAATATTTTGATGGAATAAAGCATGATAGAAGGTAATAGTGATGATGAACTCATATTGTAGCTTATATTACTTTTTGTGCGCAACTCAAGAGACTAATTTTTCTAATAAAGTAAGATCCCAATATGCGGCAAAATGAAATTGTGATATGTTGAGAGTGAAGGTAGTGGAGGAATGGATGTGAATTTTTGAAGTATGGGTGTTGATGAAAGATTTCATGAGGTGTTTACTTATATTTGTCTTTGAACATTAAAAGGGAAGACACAAAGGTTTGTTCTAGGAAATTTGTAAGATGCTTCGTAGATTTTTCTTTCATCATGTTATTATACCAAGAAACATGAGGAAATTGCTATGTTTTGAACGCTATTTTAATGTGAAAAAGTTTTTTGGGAAATTTCTTGGAAGTTTCGTTTTTAGACTTTTGAAAAGCTAGTATGACCCACCATCGATTATAAAATATTGATTGGAGTTTCCAACATAAATAGTTATATATTTGCTTTTATTCTCTTTAAATATCTAAATTTTCATATTTGATTAAGGAGCCAAATTTTAGAATACTCATATAGATTTAACTGGATGGAAATTTACAAGTAAATTAATTTTATCAAAACATGATAAGAGAAATATTTATATTACTAAAGGAATTTCTTAACACATGTCTTTCTAACGCAACGCACCAAAATACTTAAATATTATATTTATGGGATACACAAAAAATATTCTAAATCACGTACTTTCTCGGAGATATATTTTCAAATTCAAATCAGCTATGTATTTCTAGATAATGCTTTGAAAAATATAGAAAAATAGAAATGAAAAACATCAACTTCAAATAATCAAAATACCATTGAAATCATAAAATAAGTAATACATAAGAGATTTTAACATACATCAAACATTACACTTCAATATCCAGAAGGACGTTGCAACATCTTGATAATATCATTGATTAATCTCAAAATAGTCGCATTCAGCTCGATTGGAACTTTTGATTCTAAACAGGAAAAAGTATTCCATATAGCCTGTAAATCAGCGTCCGTCTTCAACTCATGATTGATGAACTCAAGCTTTCCTTCTTTGTCAATGGATGGCGAACGGTACTCAGTCTTCACAATTTAGCGACTGTCGTCATATGATAGAAAGTTCTGCAATATGTATTGCAGATCTTCAAGAGGGGTGTACTCATTGATCTTAAATTTTCATGATGGTGTATTGTAGATAAAGTGTACATTTCCAACATGTCATTTGATGTTCATTCTGGTTTTTTGGGTTTTGGCATGAAACAATATGACAAGTGAGCTTATTAATAGTAGTGGGATGCTAATATGGACCACACAAATCCTATCTTATGACAGAGAAAGTTTTGGAGTTGTAACTCCGGAAACACTCTTTATTTGTTTATTTCGAAGATGTACTTCTAGAAACTTCTCTGGTATAAGAAAACAGAAACATAACATAAATAGAAACTTGTATTGAATGCTGAATTTTTTGGTCAAACTACAAAATGCTTATATTAGACAGCATAATACATTAACAAAATGTCATATACAATAAAATGATAAATAACTACTTAAATGAAACAACATAATTATCGTCGGTCAAATCTACAGGTGGTACGCCCTTTGACTTTTCCTTTTTTTTTTCTATTTCAATATTGTTCAATTTGGTGTACTCTTACAGCCTTTTGATAAATTGGTCCGACCAATTCTCGGATTGGATTATATAATGAGTTATCCACTCCGGTGATGTAAGTGGTATAGGGCATCTCCGTTTCAAATACACTTGAAGAAAATGTCGCAGATTTGAAACCTACCTAACACATATGATACGATCATTGAGATTTGGTGGTTGAGCAGTGCGCAGTAGAAAAAAAGTTTTCGAGAAACGGTATCTTGTAAGATCAATACACACTCTCTCATACGCACTTGCTACAAGATGACCCATATGAGGGAAGCGCATCTATTTATCCTCCAATGCAGGTCCACTAATGCAAGGTACAAGAGCGTGATAAATTTCTTCAATTTTCTCTCTATTCTAAAACACTCATGTGTATGATTCTTTGTTGTTCCTCAACTCTTTCATAAGGATACAACGTGTTATAACCGGTTTAAAAATATAGAGTCACTTCTAAGTATGAAGTGCGCCTAAGAGGGGGTGAATTATGCACTTTAAAATTTTTCTGGCTTTTAGTGATGATGGATAATATTTTTCTGGTCTATGGTATGTTTATGAAAGAGTAAAATGCATAAAAATAAAGAGACACGAGCGATATATCCTAGTTCCTCTCACAGTTCGAGAGTACTCAACTCTCCTTTCAATATGAAAGAGATTTCCTTATAGTGGCAAACTTAAAACAAGAACTACCAAAACCAAGAACAATCCTCTTGGACCAAGAACAATCCTCTTGGATTTTCACTATGTCAACAATGAGAACAATCCTCTTAAGGTGACCTTACTTGTATCAAACAATCCTGGAAAAACAAGATTACAAAATCACTTGAACATATTTTCAACAATCCTGAAAAATAAGAAAGTGTATAGCAATATTTGATTGATAGAGTTTGTAGTGCAATAATCACTTTGAGTGATTTTATCAATGACTTGATCTCCTCTTCCAATAACAATAATATACAATGACTCAAGACTATAGAATGCTCAAAGTTTTCTGTTTAACAATATATGAAAATGTGCAGAAAAACTTTGTGTATGAAAGTGAAGAAAAAGCTTGAGTTTTAATATTTTAAAATTCGGAAACTATTGATTGGAAGAGGTTCAAAATGATTTTGAAAATTCAGTATTTATATGTTCATAGCAACTCTTTGAAACAACATAAGTTTCTGCAAATGAATCATGAACAATTGCCAAGATTCAATAAAAAGTTTCTATGAAATGGTGTTATGAAAAGGTATGTTCAAAGCTGCTGCTTTTCAAAAACGTTCAGCATGCAATCGATTGCACCCTTGTGTAAATCGATTGCACGGGTTTTAACAACTAAAAAAATCAAATATTTTCAGTGAGAAATCGATTGCACATGTGTGTAAATCAATTTCCCTTTAAAACAGTAGAAATATTTGATAGAGAGCAATCGATTGCGCTTAGAAACAGTAGCTAACACTTTGAAAATGTGAAGCATGCAATTGATTGCACCAACATGCAAATCGATTGCATATAAGTGAAAATTAATTTTTGTTTTGCTTATAAAACTTGAGAAATAGTTTGGACAAGATAAAACACTTCTTTTGATCATTGGGCATCTAAGACTTAAGTTCAAAGTAAGTATTGTCATTATACCTTGTGAAATTTGCTAAGAACTTGAGACAAAGTCTTTTATCCAATGATGCTTTTAGCTTGATCAAAATCTTTGTCTTCTTGCCAATATAGTTTGTCTTCATCAAAACAAAGTGCATTGAGAATCATTTGAGAAGCTTGACATTACATTCTCCCCCCTTTTTGATGATGACAAACAATCTTTCTTGAAGCTTTGTTATTTCCGGAAAGAGACTTCTCCCCCTAAGATGTATAACTCCCCCTTTGTATGAGAAAGTTAGAAACTCTTGAAAGTGTTCATCTTGTTGAAGAGTACCTTAGAAGTTTAAGACAGGAAATAAATAAGCATAAAGTACCACATCCTTCTCCCCCTTTGACATTATCAAAAAGAAGGGAAAGATGCAATAAAAATGGATAACATTGAAAACTTAACCATAAGATGGACTAATTAAACATAGTTATAGACATACATGTCATAGTAGAATAACAAAAGCATAGAAAGCTCAAAAGCAACAAACAAAATATAGCATAAAGTAACAAGGACATAACATAAAAACAGTAGAAATAACAAAATTGGACAGAATTTTATGGTTGATTCATGTCGCGGTTGTTATAGAAGAAGGGTCCATGATTAGGGAATTGTTATTGTAATGGAGGTTCTGTGTATTATGGTGGAGGTACAACAAGATTATTAGGGTCATATGGAGGTATGTGAAGGTGAGAGTAGAGGTAGGAAAATTGTTGGTTCACATCTGAGTGAAAATCATTAATCCGAGATGTTGTGGAGTCATTGATGGCATTTCACTGGTGGTTGATGTTGGTGTTGATGGAAGCAAATTGTTGAGTCATAAAATCTATAAAATCTTGATTACTTGGACCATAGGGAGCAGTAGGTGGATGAGGTGCAGCATCACCGCCTTCTTCCTCTTGATTGTTTCCTTCATCACCAACCATATCTTCACCAATGTATGTGATTGTTTTTGTTTCCGAATTATAGTGAACTCCCATTCTCGAATCAACATTTTTGATTGAGATCTTGTGACCATTTGGATCCATATCAACTCTTTCAAAACCGGAAAAATCAATTGCAAATTCTTCCATAATTAGAGTAATAAAGTGAGCATATGGTAGGAATTTTGACTTTGCATCAAACCTTAACATATGAGTCATTATAAGTCATGCTCAATTGACGCTTATACCTCTTTTCCTTGCGTATAGCAGATGCATTTCCTAATCAGTCACAGTGCAGTGGTTTCCAGCCTGCGGAAACATAATGTAGACCATGAAATAGTGAAATAGCCTATCGTCGATAAAAAGTTACTTGCACTCCAAGAGTCTCTAGATGGAATGACTCCTCCTAGACCGCGAATTCTTTTAGAACGGAATTCAGCTTCGTTCAATCTACCAATGTTGTAGTAAAAATCCTTTTTCTTGTAATCATCCCATGCTTTGTCTTAGGGATCATACAAAGAGCTCCCAATATGAGGGACATGTAGAATCTCACCAAGAATTTCAGGGGTTAGAGAAATTCTTGTGCCCAACACATATGTAATAAACTCGCCTTTGTAAGTAGCCAAATTACTGAAGAACACTCTTAATAGATCCGGGTAGTATGGACTAAATGATAAAATCAGTGGTTCCAATCCATATGCAGTCAAATCATTCTGAAAAGTAAAGCATTCCTGAGGGAAAGATGATAGCATACCATATTTTGGAGTGGACAATATCTTCCTTTAAAAATCCATTTTGAACCTTGTTTCTTGAACTTCAGCGAGAGTTTAGATTAATG